GAAGTGTTGCCAAACTTGGCAGCCGCATCAAACACTACTCTGAGCTTCCCGGGCTTCCGGGGGTTCGTTACACCATGATGTGGCAGGTACCACTTCCTTGGGTGTGGTTCTTGATCTTCTTCTGGGGTTAGCTTGCGAGCGAATCCGCGCTCGACGTACCCCTCGACAACCTTCTTATAAGCTTCTGCTTTCTCAGATTGTCGCATCAGGGTCTTCTCCAGGGAGTACAGCCGGTTGGCCGCCATCATCTTGTTATCAGGTAGGCACACATCATCACTCATCCACAGGAGTCCCGTCTCGTAGCGATTGTCCAGTCTCCTGGTTGTGTCTTCCATGATCTTCACGGCTCTGACGTCCTGGGGAGATTTGGCATCCTGGCCTTCAAACCTGCTCCCAAACGATTCCGTGCTCCACCACTCCTGGAGTGCTGCTGACAGTTGATCGTCTGGAGCCATCTTCCTGATCAGCATCACCTGGCGCGTTCGTTCTGGCAGGAATCCCTTCACCGTGCCCGTCAGCGTCCACCCGAAGACGGTTCTGATGGCCACCGGTTGGCCCGCCTTCCCTGTCCTCACTTCCAGCTGAAGCACCGCTTCAAGGACATTGGCGCCGAGAAGAAGATCGACCCTCTTCCCTGAGCAGTCTGGAAGGTCGAGGTCCAGCAGGTGCTTCCATTCGATCCTCTTGTCAGGGAGCTCTGGAACCGTGACGTTGATGTCCTTGACGGAGAAAACTTCAGGGACCACTATTCTTGATCCGTCGCCACCTGACGCCTTGAGCTCCAGTTTCATCTTCACGGAGTTCTGGAGGCGCCCGCATCCTTCTACGTTTTGCAGGCGGAGGGTTTGTGGCTCCCCTTGAAGATTCAGCTGTGTCATTACCTCCTCGGACACCAGTGAAGTCTGAGAGCCAGGGTCTAGTAGAGCCCAGACCTGCTTTTCCTTGCCACCACTGGCAAGGACGGTGACTGGTACGACCTGCAGCAGGGTTGTGGTCGCGCCCGCCTTCACTGATGCTGCTGCTACCACGCGCTGGCCAGTGTTCCTGAGGTCGACCCTCTTGCTGCCATGGAGCACCTGATGATGTCTCATCTTGCAGCTGTCGATGCCGCACGGCCTTGCCGAGCGACAGTGCCGAACGCCATGTCCAGCCTTCAGACAGAAGAAACAGCACCTCGCACTGGCGATGAAGTGGGCTCTTTCATCAACCGATTTCTTCAAGAAGATCGGACACGTTGTCACCTCATGCTGCTCCTTGCAGCATACACAAGTCGTGCCTGATGTATCAATCTCTGTGGCCAGAGCACTTCTTTGGACGGGCCTCAGCTTCACGTCGCCCTTCCACCGCTGAGGCTGTCCTGCCGGCTTCTTGCCAGTCGCCATATTCTGCTGTGGAGACACGGCAGCGTAGTTGAGGGCCACCCTGACCTGCCTGCGAAGCCATTCGTCAAAGTGCACCAGTGTCGGCCTCTCTCCCAGGTTCAAGACATATTCTCCCCATAGACGTTTCATCTCAGATGGGAGCCTTTGAACAACTCGTCTGAGGTTCTCGAAACTATTCAGGTCCCCATCGTAGCCAAGACTCCTGAATATCATGACAGCACAGTGGACTGATGCGTGCAGGCGCTCTAGTCCAACAGGATCTAGCTGGGAGGGCGCAGGGCAGGAGAAGATCTCTTGCAGGTACGCGTGTACGACATCTTCCTGGCGGCCAAACCTGTCCTGCAGAGCATGCACCGCCTCATCATATAGGGCCCCATCAAACATCATCCCACTGATGGTGAGCTTAGCAGTACCCACCACTGATGCTTGCAGGTGTATCAGCTTTTCTGTTGGGGAGAGTGAGATCTGTTCATGTACTAAAACTTTAAAAGAAGCCCACCACTTCGGCCACTCGGCCGGCTCGCCGCCGAACTTCGGCAGAGTCAAGCGCGGAAGACTATTGTGCAGCAGCGATGGAACACAGGGCGCCCCTTGGGCGACTGCATCACTGGCTGTGGGTCGAAACTGACCGGCTAGTTCAGTAGTGGGTGCCCCTCGGGCAGCTCCAACAGCCGGTGGGGGTACATGACTGTAATAGAACAAATCAGCTGTGTCGGCGCCGAGTGCCCCTTGGGCAGCTCCAACGGCCGGCGAGATGGTGTGGCTGGGACGTGACGAACCGGCTTCTTCAACAGTGGCTACCCCTTGGACAGCTCCAGCGGCCGGTGAGATGGTGTGGCTGGGACGAGACGGACCGGCTACTTCAACAGTGGCTGCCCCTTGGACAGCTCGTGCAGCTGGTGGGATGGCTCGGCTGAGATGAGTCGAACCAGCTTCTTCACTAGGTGCCCCTTGGGCTTCCCAGACCTTGGTCTCACCACAGAAATCATTTCTCCGGTCCCACGCTAGGTCATCTTCAGCTGCTCTTGCCAACTGTGCACGCAGCTCGGCAGCTGCATGAGCATCCTTTGCTTCTTGTAGCTTCATCTTCCTCTGGATCTGTTGCTCTTCCTTCTCCGACTCAAGCCTTCGCTGCAGCTGCTCCAGCTCTAGCTGCTTCACCTTAGCCTCTATCTCTGCCAGCCGGGATGCTGACGTCTTGTCTGATGCTGCAGAGTCTGACGCCTGCTTTGATGTAACTGATGGTGGATCGTCCTTCCTCTCCTTCAAATGCGCTTCAATCCGGCTCACCGCTTCTTCATGCTGCCTGTCTGCTTCTGCTTGATACACTCTTGCCTGATCAACTTCCTCCTGAGATGTCAGCACAGAAACTAAACTATCTGTCATCTCCTCCAACTGCTCGAGTGCCTGATCAAGCTCATGGACGATTGACGCTAGCTGAGTCCGACTACCTCTGGTATCAATCAAGACGAAAGCCCTCCTCCTGACCCTGGTCAGTGCAGCTAACAATCTGCCTCGCTTCTGTTTCAATTGTGCTACAGACATGTTCTGGATTTAACAGCACAACACCAATCAGGAACTGAGTCACAATTGCAATTCTCAGCAGCAAGTACAAAACTTCTCGCCACAAGAAACTGTCATTTACACGACCTACACCCTGAGAAGCCTCTTCGGGCGATCAAGACAGAATCTTCAAATGAGATACACTCATAACAACAGCATCATGTTCGGAAAGTCCTTGGGCATTCTGACAAACTTTTGCATAGACCTACAACCATATCACTAGGCTGTGGAAACTTTGAAACTGTTGTGGGAAACGGTTAGGGCTTTGAGACACTACAAATAAAAACAAATAAATAATATATTCAGGCTTTCATAGCAAAAGGGTCATCTGGCAGCGTGCCAACGGCGAAAACAATATGGTAAGGCAAAGTTGTTTAGGTGAACAATTGGTGGTAGGAACGGACAAATAAGACAGCGGCATAGCGGAGAAATGCGGACCGTAGATAGAAGTAGTAGCGGTGTAGTAACGTAGAACGTAGAATGTAGAATGTAGGTAGAATGTAGTAGGTTTCTGAAATCAGCCAGAAACGCATTTTCACTCTCTATCCGATAGACATGGGTCTACCTATCGCCGAAATATCGCTAATATCATGTCAGGCTCATATCACATTAACAATGCAATAGAAACGGCAAATAATATAAAATAATGAAAGAACATACCAAAGTTTTTCCACCGAATCACATTGTGGCGAACGGCGGCGCACAAACTCCATGCGTCTCACGCCGGCGCCACACAGCCAAAAAACGCCACGTCGATGGGCGGCGCACTGGACTTTCTGCGCCACCACTGGCTTAGGGTGGCGCCACCATCCAATGGTCAGTACGAACATCGTCGCCCCCTGTGTCCACAACTAGCGCCACCTGTCGAGCAACGCACAGGCCAACCCGCTCCGGCTCAGTCCGCTACAGTGCGTGACCTTATCAGGTCGGCTGATGGGAAGTCCCCCCGCCCCCCACCGGCCCCCTCCCCAACATCACCAGCACTGCACAGCCAGTGACATCAGTGCACCTCAGGTAGTGAGCGCGAGCACACGGGACGTCCATCTCGAACGGCTGACGGATGGACAGACAGGTAACGCAGGTAAAAACTCGTGCTCGTGTCACTGCTCGCGACACGCTAGGCAGGCTCATTGCTCCGGTTCCGATCTCGCACATGCCTCATTCTGTAGCTCTGGCAAAATATAGGGAGGAACGTTTAACGTGTTTTTAGCCGGACACAGACGGGTCATGTCAACTGAATCTGGCCTGTATCAGGGTATATTGAGTGAAGCCTGTATAGCGTCACTTAGCTCCAGCGTCAGTGATCGCCGGCCATTTCGACGTAACATTTTTTGTTGCCGTAGCTTAGCGAAAAAAATTAAATCCATTAATTTCAAATATTATCATCGCCCGTATCCTATAAGTAGGCAAAATTAAAATAGTTTCGCCGTCCACGCTCAGCAGAAATGACTGAGCCGCGCTAGGGTAAAGTGGCTGGTGTGAGAGGTATTAGTGAACTGCGAGACTGAACTGAGCTGGTGAGAAGTGTGACCATGTGAATACCTAGGGAGGGAGGGGAGGGTTAAAGCTGACTGTGTTGTAGACGTGATGCGGAATGTCATGTGTCTCGTTCGGAATGTCAGGTGTCTACACGGGCTGTTGTCTATCATTGTGCGTATTTTTTCGGGTCGTTTGAGACCAGTCAAAAGCTCATCTGAAGCATCGTTCATCTGATGCTTCCCCACTATATCGTCATGCAGTGCATTTGTTTTGTGAGAATATCACTGTTGTTCGTAAATAAAAAAAAGATAAAAAAATTAAAATAGTTTGGCAAAATAAGCTGTATACGTCAGTCTCAATACAATACCTATCCTGTCCCCAGCAGGTGCACTGGTCATCAAGAGAAACCCTAGTCACCATATGACACCTGACAGGAACTGACAAGAAGTTCATATAACACCAGTAGGTACACCACCGCGCTCGCTGAGGAGTGTGACATCACCCCCGCGCGCACACAGGGCCGGACCAGGTGATACCGACCGAGCTGAATGTGACGTTACCCCCGCGCGCACACAGGTCCGGACCAGGTGATACCGACAGAGCTGCGGTACACACACGAGCTGCGCGGCGCCGTCAAAATCCGCGTGCCGGAGGACTACACGGCCAACAGCAAACCAATCAGCGTGCCCACACTGCTGAAGACCACGGCGGAACGGTGGGTTACCGGCGACCGCCGATACTACAGAAGCGGCTCATAGAGCGGCTCTGGTCCTATCCTATAGGGTCCGTCCCCCACAACAGATGCTATATCATCAGCTGGTGAGGATGTTGTAACTTGTGATGGCCATCGGCCCCCACAACAGATGCTATATCATCAGCTGGTGAGGATGTTGCAACTTGTGATGGCCATATGACGTTATACGTCAAATGGCCATCTTATAACTTAAAAGAATATCATTTGACGGATATCCAGGGCTGATTATATGTTTTTGAAAGACTTTTGTTGCTTGTAATTCGGTGATGCCTATTAGGTAAGGAGCATGAAATCGATGAGCAGACTTTAGGAAATTACGATACGATCACGTTTTATATCAACGCTTTATAGGAGGTCAGATTGCAACTTATAGCAACGCATTGTGCCTTGTACTTCGTAAGTAAATAATATCTTATAAAGCCTCATGTAAAGTTGGGTTACTACGTCACCTTTATGTAAAATTATCGTCGATGGTAAAAACTCGTTACCGCCGCTGCAGATGGCCGGACCGGAGCGCTATGAACGTGAAGCGGAACGGCGTGTGGCAGAGCACCTCGTTCGCCGAGTACCACCAGCAGGTGCGCACCGCCGCCAAGGCCTTCATCCAGCTCGGACTGCAGCCCTTCGACGGCGTGGCCATCATGGGCTTCAACGCGCCAGAGTACTTCGTCGCCAACATGGGCACCATCATGGCTGGGTAGGTACTATACATAGTGTAATGTTGGGTAGCTAATGATTTGATGCGACATGCATGAGTGGGTGGGTGGGTGGGTTGCTTTGGTAGTGTGTAATAAGCTTGGTGAATCGCTCGGCGATAGGAGTTGTGTTAGTTAAAGCCTAGTTGGTTCCATTTCCAAGAGGTAATCACAAAGCAAGTCGGTCGCAGAAGCTAATTCATGCTGCTTGCAGCGAAAGTGGAGTGGTTGTTACAAGACACGCTATACTACGATAAAATCATAATATACAATTTTTAATGAACACGTATTAATTTCATGATTACTTCATAAAGCAACAAAATGTTGGACATCGCATTCGCATATGCCTATTGCCTACCTAAAAACATCTAATTTTACCCATACGGCCACCACCCCATAAGACTGACGAGTCAGACATGAGCGATCATATTCCCCGCGGGTTCTGTCGGCAGCCGTGAATCCCCACTTCAGTCCGTCTCAGACCGGTGCACGGAGACCGATAACCGCCAGTCGAGGAGGAGTTCCCGCCGCTCGAGACGCGCCCCGCTCACCCCCGAGGCACCTTTTGACCTCCACAGATAGTAATCGGTCATCGATAGTCAATCGTCATCGTGGCTCTGCGAGTATTACCGAGATTACACTGAAGCCTTTTCACGAGTTATCGTGCAGTGACCTTGACGCGTGTAAACGGGAAACCCGAAATGTGTGGATCAGTTTTCAAGTGGCTGCCAGCCTCACTGAGGTCACGTACCCACCACACACGCGAGTTTCAAACGCTTCCAATCAACACTAGAATTTGTGTAAATTCAGAATCTCGCAACGAGGTGATATGGTGGAGAGTCGTTTATATAATTCGAAATATCCGCACTGAAGTCGCCACTCGCCCTCCTGAAAGCTAGAAGGGAACGACCCATATTCTTCGAGAGCCAATATTAACCTTATCTAGACATTCTTCGGACATATCCTCGTAAATCAGATAAAGGCCACGCTCTCTCTCCTACAGGGCAAGTCACGCTAAATGTTGGAAAACTCGGGCCAAAGGTCAAAAGTCGACACTGGCGCAAAAGTCTTCGCATATGATGTTAGATTACGCTGAGCATTTTTGTTACGAGGTAAAACAATTAATGACGTGTGTGAAGAAGATATACTTCTTCACACACGTCAAGATATAGTGTTACTTCACTATATCTTCAAAGTTAAACCATCTCCAGCTAACCGGTAATGAAAGGATAAATGCATGCACTCAAATTGGATTTGTATATTCCTTAAAGGGACCCTCCCACCTTCAAAAAAAAAGTTAATGAATTGGCACGAAAGTGATGTCGCTCGGTTCAGAAAGAGCGAAAACGAATATCTACCAAATTTCATCGAAAAATATTCACCGGTTTTCAAGATATTAGACTTTTACTTTTGTTTACTTTTTGGGATCTCCGCTGTTCCTAGCGACTTTATTTGAAAGTGCGGCATTTGTTGCGCGCAAAGCAGCATATACCACCGCGTGCTACCAAACGTTTTAGTAAAAGATTTAAAAATCGTTAGATCTCCGCTGACGTCATAAATTCTAAGGGGGCATACCAATGCACTAGCCCCTTAGAATCCGAAAACTGCAAGTTTGAAATTCCATATCTCCGAATTAAATCATTTGTCGATGTTGTGAGTGCCCAAACCGGTATTTGCAGGCCATGGCCACCAATTTGGCTATCTCAACTCAAAACTAATGTTAAGGTGGGAGTGTCCCTTTAAAACGAAATTCAATTTCTAACCACACGGTCATTCATGAGAAGAAAAAACGGATATGTGTACTACAATCCAACAGAGGCTGGATAGCAAAGTGGACAAATGGAGCGTAGCTTATCGCACTGCATGATCCAATGTGTCCCCATAGGTACTCGGGGCACGCTGACTGCAGGTCAATTCGAATTCATATATGACTTGGTAGAGTGAGATTTGGTAACTATACACTTCTTGTTCCATCCTTTCCCAGCGGCGTGTCGACGGGCATGTACACGACCTCGTCTCCGGCCACGTGCCAGTTTTACCTGACTAACACGGACATCTCGGTGGTGGTGGTGGAGAACGACAAGTACCTGCAGCGCATCCTCGAGGTCAAGGACAACTGCCCAAAGCTGAAGACGATCGTCCAATACCTGGGGAAGCCCACCGTCGGCGGTGTGCTCTCGGTGAGACAATCGTCACTTATGGCACTTTTTGCTTCATTAAATAAGCAGCCTACAGCGCCGATAATTACCTCAAAGGCGTTCAGACACTTCGTCGCACGTGTGATGCCTTATGACACACGAGTGTTTCCCTCCGGGCCAAGCCCCTAGTTCGGTTTATCCGGCGGAGCTGAGGAACCCCATCTGAGCCGGAAATTGGGCAGATAGTGTGGCTTGTGTATGTGTTTGTGACAACAGCTCATCCGTCGCAATGAGCGCCCACGCGCCGACCTCTGGACTTCCTGCTGAACGGTCCGTCCCCCCTGACATCACTGAGCAGTGAGTACCCAGCCCTCACACCAACCTGACCCGTTAGCCCGTCATATCCGCCCACCACATCCTGTCTATCTAACCCCACGGGCCACGCCACACTGCCACCATGGAGCGCAGATGACGGCTCAGTCTGGCACAAGAAACATTGATTATTATGTCGGTCAATAAGGAAGAAAACATGAATCTAAACGCTTCCTTTCCTTATCGTCTACCGACGGGATACTTACGTTATTAAATCTTGTTACACACTTCTGCAATTCATTCAAAACTTCTATCCTCATTTACTTTCCCACAAATTTCTAGAAAAAAAAAATCACTTCACATCGGGAAATGATCAGTAGCTGACATTAGCTCCCAGTTTCTTTGACGGGGTCAGCCGACCGTTCGCCCCTTTCGCGTCCGAGTCTGCCCTCTAGCGGTGACTGGCGGTAGTAGGAGTTTGTAACCCAGAGGACGCTGTGTGACTGACCGACGTGCCTGCCATCTGGTGGTGACCGGCGGTCGGGGGGAGTTTGTAACCCAGAGGACGCTGTGTGACTGACCGACGTGCCTGCCCTCTGGCGGTGACCGGCAGTGGGACGAGTTCATGGCCCAGGGGGCGCTGTGTGACGACTCTCGCCTGGAGGAGCGGCTGCGCGGAATCGCCGTCAACCAGTGCTGCTCAGTCATCTACACGGTCAGTGGCGGACGCATCCCATAGCGTTTGCAGTACCTACATATTTCGTCGTGTCTCAGGAAATTTATAGGCACAATTGCTGTACATAGAGTCAATTAGGAAAACAATGTTGTTTTGAACAACTTCTTGATTTCAGACGTTGCTTTAAAGTCTAGATGATTTCAGAGAAAATGGGATCTCATTCAGCTCTCCATAACAAATATTTGTCGGTGTTTAAATGGGAAGTCCGTAATGCTTGTGAACGGGTAAAAAACAATGCTCTGTCAATTCCCAGCGACCCGTTAGCTTCAACATCTTCCATAGCTCTGACTATCCCTCCACTTTCGCCATCTCGCTGCAGTCGGGGACCGTGGGCCAGCCGAAGGGCGTCATGATCAGTCACGACATCTTCACGTGGACGGCCGAGCACGGCTCGCAGTGCGCCAACTTCCGTGACGCCGAGGACAGCACGGTCTCGTACCTGCCGCTCTGTCACGGCGCCGCCCAGATCGTGGACGTGTACGCCGCGCTGCGGGCCGCCTGCACCATCTACTTTGCGCAGCCGGACGCGCTCAAGGTATGGGGCGAGACCAGCATTGCGAGGCGAGCTGTGAGCGAAGTTAGAGACCGCCTACAGAAAGCAGTAGGACATATAGACGGAGCTTCGCTCAGGTATCGAGAAAGATCGACGGCTTACTAAGCACATGGCGGTCAGAATAACGTAAAGAAAGCCTCCGCGAAGTGTCTGAAAAAGGCACACGTCGTAGCTTGTTCTTATGACACCCAAGTCTATGCGCTGTTCCTTTCCACAGGGCTCCCTCATCGAGACCCTCCGCGAGGTGCGACCGACGCTCTTCCTCGGAGTGCCGCGAATCTACGAGAAGATGTACGAGAAGTTCAGCGGAGCGCTGGCCGCCGGAGGTCTTCAGGTGTCTCTCCTCAACTGGTGCCGCGCCCAGTCCTCCGCTTACTGGAAGGCCAAGGAAAAGTAAGCCATCCACGAAAGGCCTTTGGTCATCACTCCTGCTTGGCGATTGTTAAAACATCGATTTAAGGATGACATGCTGGAAATGAAGAGAAAAATAAGCTTGAAATGCATTTAAATTCACGAACACATCGACATATCGATGTGTTCGTGACACATCGACACATCGACATGCTAGCCTTCCCACCTCTCCTCCGCAGGGACATCAACACCCCGGTGCCGTGGAGCCTGACGATAGCAGACATCATGCTGCGCCGGGTCCGCGAGAAGATCGGTATGGACCGCATCCGACACGCGGGCACCTCCGCGGCGCCCATATCGCCCGATACGATGGCGTTCATCCACAGCCTCAACATCCCAGTCTTCGAGGTGGGCAGCGAGCAAGATGTGGCGCATGACCTTCGAGATGGAAAGCTTACCATCTTGACATTGTCTTTCTTTTAGCTAGCATTAGGTACCAACCCAAACATCCAACTTATAACATCTGTTCCTTTTTCCATGACAGATGTACGGTCTAAGCGAGACGTGCGGACCTTCAACGATCAACAACCACATGGGCTTCAAGCTGGGCAGCATCGGGCGGGTGTTCCTAGGCTGCAAGCTCAAGATCCGCGACCCTGACGAGGATGGAAACGGAGAGGTAAGCACTAGGCAGCAGTGATTGGGAAGAACGGCAATGCAGCAAGATGACTCAGGTTTTCGTAAGTGTGAATACTCACGTTTGAGGACAAAAACAGCAAGGGGCTGATTAGGGTTTAAAAAATCAGTACGGCGCCATTATTGCACGAGCTTGTATGCATTCTGTTAAACTCAAAGCAAACAACAACGCCAAGAGATAACAAAAAAGTTTACCTACATCCGGCGAAAAAAAAAAACTATTTAAAACTTCTGTTTCTGTTTGACATTGCTCATCAGTATCATCAAAACTCGGTCCTCTTTGTTGCACAGATCCTGCACTGGGGAAGGAACATCTTCATGGGGTACCTGGGCCGGCCGGACGCCAACAAAGAGACGATCGACGACGAGGACTGGCTGCGGACCGGAGACGTCGGCCGGGTGGACGAGGAAGGCTACGTCGCCATCACGGGACGCATCAAGGTAGGCAGCGCCCGCCACGCGCATCAAACTTGTGCGTGACGTCAACGAAGTGCTGCGACTTGCGAGTTTCTCGTACTGTCTTGATGGCTCCAATGTTCCAACTTCCAAGCAGTGTCTACGCTGAGACTGACGGAGAGCGGTAACATCTGTCATATGCGTATTGTGTGTATCTCCAGCTCCTCACTCGATTCAACAATTAGTCCCCAAGCAACGCTAGCTCTTGATCACGTCCTCCACCGTCTCAGGAGCTGCTGATCACAGCAGCTGGCAAGAACGTGGCCCCAGTACCCATCGAGGACACCATCAAGTCTGAGCTGCCGGCGCTGATCAGCAACTGCGTCGTGGTCGGAGACCGGCGCAAGTTCCTCGCAGCCCTCTTCACGTTCAAGGTAGGCCGCCAGGGTCTTGGCATTAGTCTAGCCACGCGAGCCTATGGCGCACTTCAATGGAATCCAAGTACCGTGCTATGGAACACGGAGTTACCAGTCAATCAGTACTTGTAAAGATCATTCGTCTCGAGTTTTCATGGAATTCGTGATTTAATTTTAGAGCATGACGTAAACTTAGAGTCCAAGGAAGTAACAGAGCCAAAATAAGAGTGGCTGTCCAAATCCCGCACGGCTCTCAGCACTAAAACTTGTTCAGATATCTAACATTACATCCGACGTCCCCAGGTCGAGATAGACCCTGATTCGGGCGCGGCCACCGACAAACTGCTCAACACAGCCCGGAAATGGCTCGACGAGAGAGGCGTGAAGGCCACTACCATCTCAGAAGCACTCAAGGAGCAAGATAAGGTAACGTAGCGAACGGCAATAGCAGGCCATTCATCCGTGATCTGGTTGCTTTCTGGAACCTTATTTGCTGTCAAATGGGTACGACGCAACTGTTCGAATTTCGGATTCACCTGAGCGATTTTACAATGCACACGTTTTAAAGTGCCAGTAAGTTAGTAAGTCAGTAAGAATCGATGAACTCTGATCAAAGCACGCATACAACGTTTTACCCGACCCTTTTTCTAACCCTTGGCCGTATTCCGCATCCCACAGTACCGCGACGACATCCAGAAGGCAGTCACCGCCGCCAATAACAAGGCCGAGTCTCACGCGTGCTTCGTGCAGAAGTGGCGCCTGCTCGATACAGAGTTCTCCATCCCTGGCGGGGAGCTGGGGCCCACGCTCAAGATGCGCCGCAAGGTCATCATGGAGAAGTACGGCAAGATCGTGGAAGAGATCTACAGCGGATGAGCCGGGAATGAGCTGCGGCTGAGCCGGCAATGAGCCGAGGATGAGCCGGGAATGAGCTGCGGATGAGCCGAGGATGAGCCAGAGATGAGTCGCGGATGAACCGGGGATGACGCAGGGATTAGCCAGGGTTGAGTTGGGGATGAGCTGTGTTCGTGACGGCTGGGTACGGACTTTGGGGAGCTAACTCAGTGAGTGTTGAGTTTGGCGTGTAACATGAGCCTGAGTGATGTGTGTAGGGCGAGCTAGTGATCTTGTCGGGACTGGCAGATATGAGCCAAAAGTGACTGAGCTCGACAGAGCAAAGCTTGAGAACATTGTAGGTTACGAATGAGGTTGGGTTGAGGGCGAGCCTGTCCTGCGGAGGAGCGTGCGATGAGTGAGACAAGAGCTAGGGTAAACGTGTTCTGAACGCGAGCGCCCCTTTGTACCGGGCACTAGTCGAGAGTCGACTTAGGGCTGAGAACAAGTGCTCGACAGGGGCTCAAGAGACATTTCATTACATTTGATATGGAAGGGTGACGTGGGTAAAAATGATATTGTTTTTTGAACCATGACAGTGGTTTAGATGAGGTATTATAAGTTTACAAAATCATGTTGAGATAGGCGGCACTACTATAGCTACGAACCTTGTGGCTGAAACTGAACTTTATCAAACGTTTTTGAGCTCCAATTCGACTGCTTTCATAATGTGTTCGCCGTGTGTGCTGTCTTTGATAGAATCGTTGTGATTGTCTGGATCGATTTTATGACAGAGGCAAGTGCTCAAGAGGCGAGCTTCACAACTGTGGAAGAACGTTTACAATAGTGTTGAGTCGAACGGAGGCGGTGCGCCGTTTAGGCGTTTATTCATGACTTCCGTGAATGAAGCTCAGGCATATTGCACTCTGCACATATATATGTAAGCGATGACTGTGCGTGACTTAATTGTGACAACTGACGCATGCCTGGCTCGAGATTCTTGCGCATCATGGAGAGCAATCGCCTTACAATGCAAAACATTGTTGAGATTTGTGCATGAATGTCGACACATGCACTGGCCTCAGAGTAGTCGTCGCTGACTCATACATGGGTACAAATGGGCATGACAAGAATATGGGTAAATGGAATGAATAAATAGCGACGCTGGAGAGGAGATATCCAGAGGCACAAGGACGACTTTCTGTGGCACTGAGTGTCGATGTGAAAGCGTCTGTATGGTAGTTCACTGCAATGTATTCCCAAATGTGCCTTAGGTGTTTTGTTATGTATGAGATTGTTTGGTTCAGCGAATATACGAATTACGTACATTGCTACCGTGATGATAAAAGGGTGAAAGGATTTCGGGTAGCTACAACTTCGTACTTCATTGTCCTAGGTCATCATCAAGGTCAAGTCCTTACTACTTATATGTTAAACCTCACCATGGTAGTGCCAGAAAGTTCATCTGGCCGAGTTTGTTTTCCGCCATCGTCACTACATTGCCGGAGTTTTTCCACGGGCTAGTATTTGCTGATGACAGCGACAATGTGCCTCAGTTACGGTCAAATCGTTCAACTCATGTCATCCATAGAGTTTTTCACGCCCTGGGCACCCTTTTCATCGCGCGGGTCCCTCTTTGAAAGCCGAAAGGTCGAAGCCCCACAAAAGGAACAGTGTTGACCGGACGACAACTACGACCGCGCGTCCTGTCAGGCTGTATGTGCACTGTGCACCGTGCATTGTGCATTGTGCACCGTGCATTGTGCACTGCCAATGTGTGGCGCCGGGGGCTGTCAGCGGGGCAAAGCATTCCTTCCTACAACCGATGGCTGTAATAGACGGTACATATTATGCTCCATTGACTTGTCTACTCAGTGACGATCCGGAATGATGCCTAATTTTCATGGTTCCAACTGCCATGCAGTCACCTATCGAGGAGATTAAAAAAAAAAAAAACAACGAACAACTACTGCTAACATCAATACTACCAAATATGTTCGTTGCATTAGCATCAGTCATCAGTTATAATGAGCAGGTCCAGTTATATACGTGCTAATCGCCACTGTAAAGATAGCATAACTTCAATCCTTATGTGTGCTGCCCAAAATTATTACAAGTGGTTCAGTGAAAATATTGCTAGGTTGGACAAATCACACGGCACCACGACAGCCACATTTATGATTTTTTTTTATAAATTTAGCTCGAATGTTTGAGTGGACGGATTGACAGAGCCGAGGCCCATGCTAAGCAGAGCTTGTTGCGTAGACCCCGACCCCTACCGTCCGATTGCGCAATTCCGGGTAACGGGATGATTTAGATGCCAAAGTTTAGCGTGCCCTTCAAAGCCGGACACGGCCTGTATCACTCTACTGACTTCAACTGGCTGCGGCTGCTCCCACCAACCGCAGACCATCCCCGTCGGGAGTCTCAAATATCGAGCGCCGGAGCGCCTCGAACCCGGGCTCTCACTACCGGGAGTCCGGTGCTCTACCAACTGAGCTACGGGACGGGCAAAGGAATATATCTAAGAGTCAAAGAGTATACCAAATATATAGATATCAAAGCTGCCTCAGGTCAGGGGCAGAACCTAAAATCTGAAGTTGCTGCAAACCATTTAAACAGAGGGTCGTGAGGGCCAAACATGACGTTTGTGAGAGCGGCGAAGATGTTTCGTCCTCCAGTTGCGAGTAGCCCGTCGTGCCGTCTAGGCAGTGGCGGCCAGCTCTGTGACGAGGAACTGCACCATCACGATGATGTAGGTGGCGATGGTGGCCACGATGGAGAGCACCGAGGACCGCTGCAGCCGGAACAGACCCAGGTCACCGAGCGAGGTCAGGTCGCGGCCGACCGTCTCCCGGAACAGACCCAGCTCGTGCTGCAGGGCCGGCAGCTGCAGCTGCGGCCTCAGCAGCAGGCCGTGCGCCCGGTGGGCGGCGTTCAGCACGCGCTGCGCCAGCTCACAGGGCAGCAGCACGGCCAGCGACGCGCCCAGAGAGTACAGGACGACCACGAAAATCATCCATGCGTTGTTGCTGAGCAGGAGGCCAGTAATGCCCACCAAAGAGATAGAGATGAACGCAAGAATCCCATAGAACATGCTGAAGATAAGCTCGGCAGACATGCCATCGGTGAGAGAGGAGAACATCTCCGAAAGCTCGATGTAGATGGCTCGCAGTTGGTGGAGTTCGGAGGTACTTGGCAGCCGTTTTTCCTGGCAAATGTCGTTCAACTCATCGGCAACAGCCCGATAGCCGGCTAGCAGCTCCAAAGCAGACAGTGCAAACTTGATAGGAACCAGCAGGTTAGCGCAGTCGATGACAGTCAAAGAAAGAAAATGTATGACATCCCACGTAGATGCGTGGGAAATATTATCAAAATTAAAGAATAGGAAAAAGGTACAACAAACGGTGTAGACGTTCACGATGACGACAGCGGCTAGCAGGTAGGAGTTCTGCCTGACGAGTGTCTTGTTGGACGTCCTGAAGCAGGACAGAGCTGCGGCGCGGGCGAGGACGCGCTTCGATGTGACCACGACCTGACCGTGCCGACGGCGCCCTGCAACAATGGCAAGGACCACCGACGCCCACATGGTGATGAAAATGACGCCCAAGTAGCCGGTGTACATGGCGGTCTCGATAATCGGCTTACCGTCGGCCAGCCACTGGATGAACATTTCCACATTCCTCCGGACGCAGAGCACCATGGCGGCGGTGTCGAGTCCGAGCAGCAGCAGGCCGTGGGCCACGTGGTGGCCCTGTGACCGGCCGGGGGCGTCCGTCAGGGCAGCCACACGCAGCAGACGCAGCAGGGCGACGGCCGCACCGGACCGCTCGAACCGACCGGCCGACGGGCCGGGCTCCGTGTCTTCGGGGCCCACCCAGACCGCCGTGTCTCGGGGACTGGGGGTCACCCAGACCACTGCGTCTCCGGGACTGGGGGTCACCCAGGCCCTCTTCTCTGGGGCCACGGCGGAGCCGCCCGAGGCCATGGCGGCAGTTCGAGGAGCTCGGACGGAGAGCCCTGCTGCCGCGGCCGGCCGGTCGGCAGTGGCGTTCATTGATCCACACACTGACCGATCCTCCGCAGTCGCAGGCACTCACGTCGATTATGCCAAGAGTCACCAACAAGTGACTTGTTGTGGTGTATTGAAACACAAGACGGCTAACCTGACAAAACGGCGACTGAATGGCTCATGACATCTTTTGTATGCGAGCCCCGAAAGAACCTTCCAATGCACGGGTCCAATACAATGCAGCAATATCAAGCAATCAAATAGTTATCATTCCAGCCGACTTTCCGGCCACCTCCATTCAATGCGCTAGTATTGAGCGCTGTAGCATAGAAATTATTTTCATTAGAATACCTATGTATTTAAAAAAAAATGCAAGGGGCATTGAGGTTGGCTGCCTGAGTGCCCATTGTCTTTGCTGCAATGTTAACAACCTCCATCATTAACTTCAAAGCGAATAGGTCTAAAGTACTTAGCTACTTAACTCAGCAAGGTACTTAGCTACATGCGGCCCTGGTTTCAATGCGTGGTAGGTAGACAAAAGTGAAAAGACATTCTTATTTCGACAAAACCCAGAATAGCCCGATGGCTATTCATGGCTCACAGACTTCTCTATATATAGAGACGTTTGTGCATGGCTTGGTTTGTGCAAAGGTTTACGAGTGTTGCCCTTCGTTGTTACTTTTCATGATGATTACATTTAATATCATATTAGGTGTTGGCTCACCAGTGCAACCTGCACAGTCACCGTCACAACGCGTCCTATGGACGTCACATTATTGTACAGCCGACTGTCGTCACAGCAACTCGACCAGAAAGACACGGTTCACACCAGTCATAGGTACTCTTCCTTTCAGAAAGAACATAAAATGGACGTAAGCGCTGGGCGGCTTTCTGTTTACTGTTGTGATTTGACGCAGTTTGGTACTTTTAGAAAAAAAAATGACCACTACTCTACTGAAATTAATGTGTAACAGCAACCAGCGAGGGACGGGCCCATCTGTACACCATTCGCAAACAATGTCATTGTCAATGTATTCATAGGTACATCCACCATACAATGGCTCTTCCGCACCCGAGTCAAACTGCGTCAATACGAATAAAAACAGATGAAAAGAGCGGGTAAAAGAACGGGTAAAAGAGGACGGTGCTGACTATACGACACAACACAACACAACACAACACAAGCACACAAGCTCAGCTTTACCCGGCCCCGGCCTCACGCAACAGCAGCTGCCTCAGCCGTCGCTTGAACGCAGGCCGCCTCAGGCATTTCAGATCACAAGGCAGCCGATTGAACACAGCACTGCAGTGAACCAGTCGTCTATCACCAGAACATGTCTTAGCTCGAGGGCAGTAAAGCAGGCCAGTCGGACGGGTTTCGTAGCAAGTGTCAACGAACGAAAACATTGCAGCTATATCGGCAGGCAGACGAGTACCTAAGGCGGTTTTGACTAGGCAGAGTCTGTGGTAGCTCACAAGCTGCTCGGCACGCAGCCACACAAGCTGACGGAGTACATCGGAAATATGATCGTACTTACGACGCCCACTGATGACTCGGGCACAAAAGTTTAGCAGCTTTTGCACACGATGTATGTGCATACCTGGGTTTTGGAACAGGTCCCATAGACGGAGATGCAGTACCGAATAGAACTCACAACCAGCGCGTTCACTACATGGGCGACAGTCCACGAAGGCAATACATGTTTGGAATGAGACAGTGATATGAGAACACCGGTACATTTAGTTACAAGCTGGGTGATATGGTCTTCGAACGTGAGATGGCGATCCATGACAGGTCCGACGTTTTTCACCGTACGACTTTCGCTGATGACAGACGAACCAAACTTGATCCGGACAGGCTGGACATTCTGCAGATTACGTTTCGTGCCGTGGACAATCAGCTGTCTTTTCGCCTGGTTAACCTTCATGCCGTACGAGCTGAACCAATCAGCCATGATAGCAAGGTAACCTTCCATGGTAGATATCAGGTCAGTAATCTGGTTCTTTCTGCCTCTTACTGCGATCTGAGCACCATCTGCGTATTGCACAAAGAAAGCACCAGGGGTGTACAGGGCCAAGTCATTGCAGAAGATCGAAAAAAGCATCGGACCGAGGGGGGTACCCTGGTACACGCCCATTGTAACGGGCAAGGACTCAGAGCGAACAAGCTGGCCGTCCGCTCCATGGTACTGTACTTGTTGCGTATGGTCAGAGAGGTACGATTCAAACCAGCGAGTGTCTACATTGTACAACTTAAGTTTAGACAAGAGCAAATCATGATTGACCACATCAAATCCTTTGGAGAGATAACAGAGAACTACT